TTTATCCCTCAGAAATTAATTTGTTTGTGCAGAAGATATTGTCATCCTTACACATATTCCTAGACTAAAATAAAAAGTCTTCGGAGTCTTCTCTTCACTTAAAAAATCTGCGTAGGGGTGGTCGTCGATTTATATCGCCATAAACTTCTTGATACCCTTCTTTGCTTTTCTTGATACGAAAAATAAATTTTCAATCAGCTGGAAATTAATCATCCTGTTTGTCATTCATCAAAACAAAAAATATTTCAGAAGAAAAAGAAAAAGGGGTTTGAACTCATGTCCAACAATTTCTCCCTTTTTGATAATGACAAACATAGTTGAGAAAGAGCAAAGTAAGAGTTCAGAAATTACTTCCTTTTAAGAGAAATTCCCCCTGCAAAGTTAGAGAAGTGCAGTAAAAAATAATCATCGGAGTAATAAGCGGAAAATAATTCTCAACTATCCTTCCTTCCCCCTTTTGGCATTATCAACCGATAACCCAATCAAATTTGACATCGTTCAACAGGACGTGAAACAAACGAATATCGTCCTTGTTGACAACGCCATGGTTCGAATCACGGGGCAACAAAACATATGAGAAGATGTATTGTTGGACGCGTTGAATGAAAGTGAGATTAATGACACTCGGGTTGCTAGAGTTTCTAAACTTGAGGTCACGATGATCTAACTCGAGTTGTCGCCATATTGCCTCATCTTGGAATGTTTCATCCAATTTTTCGGTAATTTCACCGCGACGAAGGCCAAACAAAGAAGTCAAACCGGCACCGTCAATGAAAACGGTTTTGCCGTCAACATAGGAAATGAGAGATGGCGAACCTCCCTTAGTGCTACGAAGATTTGCATAAAATTGATGTATAAGGTTTGGACAGAAAAATTCATACCTCAAATGAATTAAACGAAGCAAACCTTGCTGAAGGAACATAGACTTACTCGGGGCATAGGTCGCCGATTTGAAGAGGTCCTTGTTCACGATCTTGGGAGAGACGATCTCCTTCGTGAGGAAGATGTTGTGGAACCTCTCGACTGAAGCTCCAGTGTTGAAGGCGAGACCCGTTTGAGAAATTTCTGATGAAGTTTGAGAAGGGTTTGAGCTAGGGTTTCGCACCTTCTCTGTAAAACTGAGATGGCGATGAAGACGAAGGCACTGGCGGATTATAAAGAGAGAAAAAATCGAATATTAATCGATTAAGGAACACAGCCGAGGCAAAATCGATTAAATGAAGAATTTTAATCGATTAAAATTTGAGACCAAACGTTTGCGTTGCAAGCTATTAATCGATTAAGCAAACGTGATTAATCGATTACGATGGACAGATGAGTCTAATTGATTAATGTAACCAAATTAATCGATTAAAGTGACGCAGAGCAAAAAGTTTAGGATTTTAATCGATTAACAAAAGTCAAGTAATCGATTAAGAGGGACAGAGGCGACTAATCGATTTCTCTTCGAGGAGTAATCGATTAAAATTTGTTTGACAGAAAAAATATCAAGTCCAATTAGGTTGAATACCAAGGGAAGAGATACCTACAATAAAAGCCCTGCAAAAAAGAATTCATCCGCCTCCGACGCTCAAATTAGTATAGTCAATAAAAAGAATGAATTAGTTCATAGAGATATCCAAAATTCCAAGTTCGTTCCTAATGTGGAAGAAACTCTCCCTACTAAGGGGTTTCGTGAAAATGTCTGCCAATTGATGTTTCGTTTCAACAAACTCAATTGTGACATCTCCCTTTTGGACGTGATCTCGTATGAAGTGATGCCTAATTTCTATGTGCTTAGTCCTCGAGTGAAGAACGGGGTTCTTCGTTAGACTGATAGCGCTCATATTGTCACACCTAATAGGGATGTGATCAAGTATAAGGCCGAAATCCACTAGTTGTTGTTTTAGCCAAAGAATTTGGGCACAACAACTTCCCGCAGCGACATGTTCCGCTTCGGTGGTGGAAAGTGCAACACTAACCTGTTTCTTACTAAACCACGAGATTAGCGAATGACCGAATAAGTGGCAAGTACCGCTGGTACTTTTCCTATCGAGTTTGCAACCTGCAAAATCCGAGTCGGAATAGCCAACAAGATGACATGTTGAACCTTTGGGATACCAAAGACCTACATTCAACGTGCCCGCGAGATATCACATTATCCTTTTGATCGCAACCAAGTGCGACTCTTTAGGACATGATTGATACCTAGCGCATATACAAACGGAGTACATGATATCCGGTCTACTCGCGGTAAGATAAAGTAAAGAGCCGATCATACCTCGGTAGCGCTTGATGTCAACATCTTTACCTTTTTCGTCCTTGTCGAGATAGCAAGAGGTGCTCATTGGTGTGTCAATGGATTTGGATTCGGTAACATCGAA